TAACTCAATTACAGTCAAGTATATTCCAATTATGAATGACCGAGTACAATAAGTGCCTACAATACATACGAGTCATACAATTTACGATTGGTGTCTAAATAGGTGCAACTTGAATGGCCTCCTATATTATATAATGCCTTTGTTCAGGTGTCAATTCGCTTTCCTAAAATAATTCTAAAGTTTAGCCACTAACCATTAAATTTAATAATAATGAGATACTTGGTGATGAATGAGCTAAAATTAAATTATAGAGTTACATACGTGCATGCATATGTATGTATGTACATATCTGTCAACAAGGAGCTAGCCTTTACTGGTATTTATGGAAGTTTATGAGGCATGAATGGGATCCTGTGCTTACGTCTTTTATATTCACAAGTCATGAAGTGAAGGTCCCACTCCTTAATAATTAATGAAATAGCTTGATTTTGCATTGACACTCGCTTAAAAGTCAAATTATCAATAACTCTTCGCCACTAAACTAACTCACTCAGATTCAAGGGGAGAGGTGGAGGTGACGAAAAGCCATTTGACAGAAGTTTTTAAAGCCCATTTCTCAACAACAAATCCATTCAAAGATAACCCCTTTTATTTTAAGGAGTTTAATGGGTAAGACCGTGCGTGCATGTATTAAAGAAGATAACGATACCAATGCATAAGGACACACGGTTCGATTAAAAAACACCTCATTCTGCGCTGTGCTCAAATGATCGACTGTCATAAAATTTATAATTTCACTCAAGAATTCATTTAATAACTTTAACCTCATTTCCGAAGGGGCGCTGTGTGAAAAAAATTTAATTTGTGAGACCCTTGTGAAGATGACACTTGCAATTTTTATCATTTGCTGGCATATCAAATCGTTTTTACACCCACAATAAATGCAACAAGACGAGAAAGATTGTAGATTTAACATAAGTAAATACAAATTGCCAAGTCAATTTCAATTACAGGTTGTATAAATCAATCATCATCTTTTGTTCAGTCAACCACCACAAAATGGGACGTTTGAGAATTTGCCAACATATTGTTATCCTTTATTTCTACATACAAGATGCAAAATATTGCGTGGTACGCCAGGTATGCACTTATGCGCAGGTGACAAAATGACATTTGACAACTGGCAGCAAGAATGTGAACATGCTTGACTTTTATGTGGCATGGTTGGATAATATATTTACTTACTATGCTATACTTTGACGATTGCGGCCAAAACAAAACAAACACCTACTTAAAAATTAGGATGACAACAGGCCCATCAATTTATTTGGGCAATTCAATTATCTCTTTAACTTCCCATAAAATTCAATGTGAACCGTTTTGTACTAAGCTCGTGCATATTGTATTCTTTTGTTGCGTTGGGTTTGATACTAATTATTCTAATCATGATAAAAATCTTAAAGTCTAACTTCCATCTCCTCCTAGTATGAAAATGTATACATGTATCTATGAGAGCACAACGACGACGGCGGCAAAAATGTGGTACTTCTGCATTAAGAAGGATAAATGTCAGAATTATAGGTTTGTTGGTTAAACATTGATGAGTTAGTATTTAGTGGTGGGATGAGGGGACAGGAAGGAAGAACATTATATGGAAAGCTTAAAGTCAACTCTTGACTTGAAATTTGTCTTCAAATTCTCACTCCTAAATATTTATTCCGCATCGGCGTGACGTGCGTCAGTGTAATTTTTAAATTTATTTAAAATTTAAAATTTGAGTGAAGACATGGAAGGCAGATAAGTAGAACCAAAGGAAATCTACGTCAATATTTTTTCACTTTTCACATACGATATTAATATTTGTGACTGAACATTAAAATTATAAAGTTGTAATGACAGGGAAGGGCCTCGTCTAAATGAGCCTATTATGATATCCATAATTTGGTTTACATTTATTATATTACACAATTCCAATACATTTCTCAACTCAAACGATGGGAACAAGTTGGTCAAAAACTCACAAGAAGTCGTCAAAGAGAAACGAATTGTGCACTGAAGGCAATTGCTGATTGCAGCATAATGATAATCATTATGAATTCATCATAAGCGAAGGAGTAGTGGAAGATGATGCTGGTTGAGATAAAAGTAAAAATAAAAATCTCACGCTAATCTTTCACCCGTGTATGTACCAGGCACCACGTGATGTTCCAATATCAATGCTTCGATTTAAACTTGTTCCCCATACGAGCGAGCTTAGACTACCTGTAATCTGATTCTTATAAATCTGTGGCAAATCGTGGGAACTCACTTGCTCGCATATCATAAAACTCCATGTAAAATATTTTGCTGTTTTCTAATTAAACTAGTCAAACAACTTATTTATTTCAATTTTACTGGATATGGATTTATGGGAATCCTGGATTTTTATAAGAGCATGAAAACGACGCCGGTATATGTTCGCGTTCATAGTTTAGTATTTATTTACTTTGCCGGATGTAGAGGCTCGTCCATATTGTAAAGTGTGCTTGTAACGAATTATTCACGATTTAGAGCCGACGTGTCAATTATGTATTCAGAGGGGGAGGAGATTCTGTAAGGGAGGAGGTTTGGTCAATGATATCGGTGGTACAAACAGTACACGTGCATATGTTCGTGGGTATATTTTTTATAAATGAATAAAAATTGAGTCCTGACATCAAAGCGCATTGCTTATAGATTGTGTTCGTAAAATAATTTTGGATGCTTTGCCCAAATTATGAAAAAAAACTTTCTACGTTTCACCATTTAAATCACTAATTACACATTTTATCACTAACCTTTTACCCTCTTAATTTTATGTTTGGGCGAGTTAACCTCTTTTGGCATCTAACGTTTTGGCAAGTTGATACTGCCCATAGTTTATTGTGCCACCATGCTTAGGGGAATCACGAAATGCAAACTAATGCCTTATTAACTTTGTTGTGAAGCGAGTGAGTAGGACAACAATGACGAAGACAAAGGCAGAGATGACGAAGAGTGTGTATGTAAGAACAAACCAATCCCTTTCTTATTTGCTTGTCAACTCCCCTGTCAAAACTGACCCCACTTAACTACAATTCTTCTTTTGGACTGATCCGGTCAACGGTCAACCATCATAACAACAATGCCATGCAGAGAGGGATGAAGACACTTTCACCCTGAACGCAACTCAAAATGACAAGACAACAAATCTCTATTGACAATTACCCACTAGCCTATTGCCCATTAATTAAAATGCTAATAAATCGCAAATTCTAATCTCGCCCTAAAACACATCCGTCTATTTATTATTAGCTAGTAGTAGTGCATGTATGTACATTTCCCATTGTCTGTTTGCAACATGCGGGCATTTTTATTGAGATTGGGCTTTAAGTAAACTTGTGTGTCCATTCAACTCCCGATTTCCTCTCGTATTGCACACATATCGATGTAGCTTGGGGTGTTTTATGACCGAAATAAAATAAATAGCAAACGAAACAAAAACAAAGGCCACAGCGCAGGGTTGGGTCAGTCCTAATTGCGAGTGGGAAAAAGAGTGCATTAAATGAAAGAGCTCATCTCAATCCATTTTTATTTCTCATCCATAAGGAAGACAATGGTCGAAAGGAGATAAACAGCGAGCATAAAACCCATTAGGAAAAATAAAGAAAAGTAATGCGCAAACTCTCAACCAGCGTAAGCCATAAAGGGTGATTTATTTCCTTAGATTTAAGGTTTCAATTTTTTAAGGAGGTTAAAGCAAGTCTCGGTCGGGCCAAATCTCTGTCAGTGTCATTTCCCATATGCAAGTAAAAGTAATTTGTTTTTAGAGTTGGGCCACGCAAACAGATTGTTACGAGGAGAAAATCTCCGTTTTATGCATGGCGTATATGTATCTCGTCTCAAGATAAGTATATACTTGCGACTCTTGTACATTTTATCACAGGATGCATGCAACAAATCGAATCCATTCAAATACTGGGTGACCCTGTGACCCCCACTGATAAGAAAATACCAAGCAGACTGATATGGAAAATACATTTATTCTTGTAATCATACTCAGTGTGAGTTGACCAACTTAAATACGGCTTATTTTACAAATGTGCGTATGTATATAAATATTCTGCTGTTTATTCAATGCAAAATCTTCAGGATATTATGTATTGCAGTTTAGCGAGGTACGGATGCATTTATCTATATGGACTTTCATAAATCAGTTGGACAGTTCAGTTTGACTTATTAAAGAAGGTTGGTTTCTTAATACAAATTCCTGTAATTTTGTGAAATTCTTGTCCTTGCCCGAATAAGGTCACCTGATTTTTTTACAGCAGCATTGTACAGCGTATGTAGGTATGTACGTATCTACTGAACACATGAAATTGATCTTGAACTGAGACCTGAGGTTCAGAAACAACAAATTAAGACCGTAATAATGATGAGAAGAAAACTAACGATGGTCTGGGTAGATTTACACAACAACAATAGTTTAAACTAATTTTGACAAGTGTGAAGAACAAAATGAAACTTTAGTGAAAACGGCTGAAGATTTGAGCCAAAGTCATAACAATACAAGAGCAAGTAATGCTTATACCCTACTTCGCTTAAATGATGCCTTAGTTATGATGGAAATCCATGGGAGGAGGATGATCAAACTAAAAACACAATATTCTCATTCTACACGGTCATTTCTGCCTCGCCATCAAATCAAATCAAAGACCATCAACATTATTTACGACTTTTGCGTCTTCCTCTTTCAGTCACAGAACTTAAATGAGCCAAAAACTCACAATTTTTGGCTGATATAAAATAAACTAGTATTTTTCATAGTGCTCCACTCTTGGTCATCGTAGTTAGTGGTAGATTGCTACAATTGTAAGGATGAGTTCTCACTTTACTAGAAATTGTTTCTGAGGATGAGCCTATTACGTGGACGACTCTTACTGACCCTCTTAGGCATGTTTACTCTGAACTACACAATAATTATGCATTTGTCTCTCCGGATGTGTATCACGTACTCATAGCTGGTATGGGTTTTCATACATTCATCCCCACACTTGTTCATACTCCTACCTGTTCGCTACTATACCGCTCATCTAGTAACTCCACCCGCTGTTTTGACAAGTTGTTTTTAGTTCGTTTGTCCTAATTTTAATTTTTTTTAAAGTTTGTTAAAATTACTCTCAATTAGTAATGTCGGGGTGTTTGTCGAAAGGAGGAAAGGAACCTGTGTACGCTACTAATTATTATGCAACTAGTACTACAGGTACAAATATTTATTTCTTGTTTTATTTTTTTAATAGTGAGCCACCTATTTTTAACTGCAAATGGACCCCTTGCAAAAGAAAGTTCACTCTGAAGTTCTTGTTGGAAAAGCATGAGATATTGTGTCCACATAACAATCTCCTACAACCCACTTTGTCCCCAGCAATTTCGCCCTCATCAGTGACGATTCCTACGTCGGAATTTCTTTCCACACCCACCAGCTGTACATTTGCTGCTTTGACTCCTCCACCCACGCCTGACAGTACAGGGTCATCTTCAGCAAATATGTATGTAAATGATGAGGTTTTTTTATTCATATGAGTGATCCTGCATGCATTGTAGTGATAAAGTTTACATTCTTTTAGAACAACTGGGCGAAAAAGAAAGTCGGATGGTTCTCGAGTTTTGTTGTCTACTCCCAAATCAACTTCTTCTAAGTATGCACATTATCAATTTGTTTATGTATTAATGAATACTTATAATCCATTGTTACTACAGGCCTAAAGTAAGTTGTCCTAAACAATGTGGAAAGACATTTTCGAGAAAATCAGAAGCAACACGACACAGAAAACTTTGCGGACTGACTGACGAAGAGAAAAAGAAGGCTATTAAAATCAGGTTAGTTAGTGTGTTATGTTACATCGATTAAGTTATGCACTCATTTATTCTAATAATGACAGATTTGGAAATGATCCCACACATGTATGTTGCAACTGTGGAGAGGTTTTTGAGCAAACAAATGGAAAAACGGCGCATGAAGACAGGTGTGCTCTCACGGTGGACGAAATGAAGGAAAAGTAAGTTGGATAGAGAGAAAGAGAGAGAAAGTGAAAAATTATGTATGTGTAAGGATTATGTACATGTCTTTCCTTTGCTAATAGGTATAAAGATGACCCTGGGCATTTCTGTTGTAATTGCGCCCAGTTCTTTATTGATACGTCGAACAGACAGCAGCATGAAAGAAGTTGTGGCGTGACAAAGGAGGAAATGATGGAGAGGTTTGTAAGCATATGGTTCATTCATTAAGTTAAAATAAGTATGAAATGTATTCTCGTAGATTCAAGGACAATGTACAACATTGGTGCTCGAAATGCGACTACTTTTCAGTTAATGTTAGCAATATGAGTAAACATAAAGCCGCATGCAACAAAACAAAGGAGGAATTAATGATAGAGTGAGTACAAATCAAAACATAAGAGTATTTTTTCATAACTGATTCAAAACTTATCATTAAACTTATAGGTATAGAGATGATCCGAAACGTTGGTGCTCTAAGTGCGACTATTTTTCTTTTGATTTAACCACTTTGAGTAGACATGAAGCCGCGTGCAGCAAAACCAAGGAGGAATTAATGATAGTGTGAGTACGGATATAAATATGTGAGTATTTTTTGCATAACTGATTGTATAATTTATCATTAAACTTATAGGTACAAAGATGATCCGTATCATTGGTGCGAACAGTGTGGACATTTGTTCTTTTCTGATGTGAGGAGTCAAAAACTGCACAAACTTCGGTATCACACACACATTGATGTCAGAACGATGTGAGTATTTCAAAACAAACGCAAATTTTGTAATATTCTGTTTTGTATGGGGCAAATATTTACACTTGTATTTCGTTAATTTTAGCACACTGCAACAAATGAAAGTCGTTCATCCTTTAAAACACAATAACGACGGAATCGGAGAGGAAGACCCACTCGACCCACTCGACAAGGAAAATTTTGATTTCATTGTTAAAAAGAAACTAGAATGGGCCGACACATTTGCTCATAACAAAGCGGACACCAACTTTGTCTACAGAGCCGCATGCCTGTCACACTCATTCTCCTCATCATCAACTACATATTCTGATTTCGTGGTGGGTCATCCTGAAGAAGTTGGAGCATATTCAGGAGTGAAAGGAAAAGTGGAAGGATTGGACATACATAATTGGCACAAATATTTTCCCCAAAAATCAAAACCAGGTCAAGCAGCATTACGGGGTCAGGAGATTGTATTCTTTGGGCAGACTTGTTTCAAAGGACAAGACAGTGCAACACAAGCGCGGAAACAGGAGGCTCTCGAGATTGTGAGTGTTTTTATTTGACACAATTTACATATTGTTAACACTAGTACAAAAATATACATGTTATGAATTATAGAACTATGGATTCTACGCCAATAAGTACAAAGGGGAGAAAATGTACTACATCAATGTAGAACGAGAGCTGACCAATTTGTCATACAATTCGGATGCAGCCATTATGAAAATGTTGAGTATGGCAGTAAGAGGGGAGCCGAGTTTTTGTCACAAAACAGAATGTGAATGCCCTGCATACTTTCACTTTGAATTGGACAAGATGAAGAAAGTTGAATTCAGCAGCATTGACAAGACCCGTATCAAAAAAGAGTCTCCTCCTCGACTACCACCACAGAAAGCACGCCCCCAAACTGAGGAAGATCTCAAACGAGAAATCGACAGACTGTTCCGAAGCCTTAAGGAGGAAATGAGGCTGAATTTGGAGACCAAATTCAATGTATACTCGGTGCTAATAGTGAATAAGGCCGATTTCCCAGGCATGTCAGATCCTTGTGAGATTTTGGTCGCATTACGGACGCGAAAAGGACTTGTCGTCTGGTGTTACAGTGGAAAAGGGGTGGAAGCAGCAGATGGTAACATACACGCCCACCATCAGTATGGTGAAAGCACCATCATGAACGAGTTGGAAAAAGGGGACAAAATTGCAATCAAGATCGCAAGAATGAGATGCTCTTGCCAGAGAGATGCGGAAGAAAAAGAGGCATTTTTGCAAGTAAGTTGCACATTATTAATAACAATGTGATTATTAAGTCGTCCCAATTATATTTCAGTGTGTTTATATTATTATTTAGTACACCACAGGAGTATCAAGTAGGAAAAAATCCCATGGGATTCGCATCGTCCCTATAAATATTAGGATGGAATGGACCGCTTGGTTAAGATTGTCCGACCCCATTAGAAAATTGGCTCAAGAATGTGGGGAACTTGGTACTAGTCTCTACTCGTTTGCAGATCATCCTTATGCACCTTTGTATCAGGAAGGGGAATTTGTATACCCCATCGACGTAGCACGCCAAGTCGAAAAAGGAGAAGTCGCGATTGTTAAATTTGTTGATTGTTGAGTTATCTTTTTTGTTTTATGAATTTTAATTATTTTATATTTTTTACTGTACATATATGTTGTACCCGGTGGTACTGTTGTGATACGAAATGAACTGTTATGTGTATCAAACATCGTAATAAATGCTCAACATAAAATAATCTATCCAAATGGAATTCCATAAAAATTTGAATGGATTCGATTTGTTGCATGCATCCTGTGATAAAATGTACAAAAGTCGTAAGTATCTACTTATCTTGGGATGAGATACACACAACATGCATAAAATGGTAGATTTTCGCCTCAGAACAATCAGAACAATCGCCTCAGAACTGAACGATGACCAATCACTTTGCACTCATATTTTAGATTGGGTTTCAGATTTTCAATTTATCAACAACTTTCGGTCCATTTTTGCAGCAGAAAAAAAAGACCCAAAGATTACAGCCTGGTTTCGAAATCGAATCTTATTGGAGAAACATTTGGACTCGGATTTTCACATCGCTAAATATCTTGGTCCAACTGCATTCTGCTACACTTTGTGTGTGCAGAGATGAGAATTTGAAGAATAATTTAGACAACTCACGCAACCCACTACGTGTCCATAGGTTCAAAATATTGGTGGTGAATTTTACACTTGACTTGGCATAATGCGAATGGATGGATTATTGGCATAGAGTGAGTATTGATGTATTCATTAAAATGAAAATATTTAGACATTGCCAATGCATACGTAGGTACTCAGGTGGGCATAGTGGTATGTGCAGATCATTCATCATACGTATTTACGCAAGCAGGTGCAGCGTACAGAGATTAAGAAGATTGAAAATCTCGTGTTCGTTTCCTGTTTCACCACTTCAATAAATTCAAAAAACCTCACACTCGTCATTGTTATTGAATATCTGAGACAACGAAATGTAGGCTCCGCAGAGTAACAGTACCACTGGATCCATCAACCTTGCGTAGTTTATTAAATTATAAATCACACGTCCGCCAAACATGTAGCATCTTATATACATATTTATCTTTCAAATCTCGCTAATTATTTGGTTCCCAATTTCATAAGTTTTTCCGCATATCCAGCCAATGTGAAAAGTATTTTCCAGTTCTCGTACAATTGAATGACCTATTGAGTAACTATTAAATTGTATACGAAGATCGGCTAGGCTGCCAGAAAATGTATGTAAAAGTGTACTTCTAAATACAAACATCACTTCAATTCAGGTAACAATGCAAACCTACAATATAAACCTCATTGTAATAAATTATTACAAAATTAAAAATCTACGCACATTTTGCACACTGCCTAAAAAATAGTAAGTCACATTGACAAATGGCAAAGATGATATAACAACAGTCCATTAGAATATTCTAATGTTTATCAGAAAAAAAGAACAGGATTTGTTTTCTGGGTTACAGCCACGCAGCTATCTGTTGCCAGTTAAGCAGGCAGGAGGACTGTCTCCGCATCATAATAATTCGAAAGGTTAAAAAGGCAAGCAATCCGCAAGCAGTAACAACCAGACGGTACGTACGAGTACACTTTGTGAAGATATAGACGACGGATAGGTCGAACCAAGAAAGATGGGTCGTCGGATAATACATTGTACTACAAGTTGAATTTGCTCAATGCTAATTGCTTTACAAAGCTGAAACAGGAAATCTACAGCTTGCTATTCCATCGACATCCATCCAAACAGTCATTAGCATTTCCCTCCCAGCAATGATGGCATCGCATCGCTTGTTTTCTAACTAACGAACTCAATGCAATTCACATTCAAGACTTTAACCCACTGCACACTCCACTGCACACTGCCGACGACGTCGACGGGCCCCACGAACCGATATCAAATGCTACTTGCTGTTCACATAATGTGTTCATCAGTTTATAAATCCGACCAAAAATAAGCATCAAGTGACGTCCATGCAGGTGTTGGCATTAAGAAAATATTTACAGTAAATGTAAAATGCTTCAGTAATTAAGTTTTACGAAATCGCTAAATTGTGAATTTTTAAACAAACAAACATGCAAACATGTCTCAAATTTCGTATCATATTAAAATTGTACATATGCATGCATACTTCTCACCTGTCGAGGACCGATTAATCTAACAGAAATGTCTGTCAATGGCCAAATTATTATTAGTCAATGCACATTCTCAACTTATCAAATTGACATTTCTCAACTTTAATCATCATATATGTAAAAAATCATCAGATATGTAAATTTATTTAAATAAAATTTATCGCTACTATTTAGCAAAAAAAACGAGTCAAGTGAATCGAATGAAAATTAGCATTAACACATTAATCTCATTTTGTTATTGAACTCTGACCAAAAGTTATCAATATTTGAAATATCAAGGCAATTTAAAAACTCATCAATAACGACAAATCCATCATCAACCAGATGGACAACCCAATTTCAACGTGTAATCATACATTACTACAATTATAATGAGTATGCAAGTAAGTAAGGAAAACTGAAAAGAAGCTAGTGACGAGGTTTTTTAAGGGAAGATGATTCTGAATAATAAACGCAGTGCCAAATGTTGAGACAAACTTAAATAGTAGGTCAATCAAAGCATAAAACATAAGAGCAACGATTTAATGACAGCTGTGTGCTGTTGATGATATGTACCAGGATTTGGGGATGGTGTTTAATTTCATGCAAATTTCAGTAGCACTCAATACACGTTTTGTTTTCGACTCATTCATTTTAATTCAATGGAAAATGCTGTGATTCAATACTTTGGTCTTTAACACATTTGACGAAGGTACTCATTACTCCACATTCTCAGTTACAAATTATAAATTTTTCGTGATTCCGCTGTAAGATAAACCTGCCATTAGATGGTCGATGGTTAACCTTGTCTAGTTATACACATGTATAAAATGCAAAAATGCATAACCAGACTGGCAACCTGATCTCGAAATAAGCAAAATTGAATATTCGATAAAAATTCTAACGAAAGGAAATCATAAGTAAGCTACGACAGGTTATTGTAGGAATCCATGTCACATTGGTCTCCATTTTGTATATAAATCATTTATTTTAATCCAAGCTTAAGTCCAATCTAATGGACTGCTAACATTTTTATGAAATTAGACATAAAACTTAAATGGCGAGATTTTGTTCCACGTAATTGGCTTAAACTTGAGACCATACTCATCCATGACTCAGTCTCATAAGACTAAAACGCTTAATTGTCAAACGTGCATTTGTCACTAGATTATATTACACGAAGCTTAAATTCGGCTGAAAATGATATTCTTCGTCTGTAAATCAAATTACCTCTTTCCTCTGATATTAACCAAGTGCGTCAGAATATGTAGGTTTCAATCTAAGAGGATAATTTGCAACCTTCTTTGATGGTTCCTTCCCAGTAAAAATAATAATCCGATTAGATTTGCCCACCAGACTTGCATAGGGACACCATTTGCTTTGTCGTTTGCATTCGGTTCGACTAAATGTTTAGTCATCCTCCTCCAACGTCTTTTCTTCCGCCTAGCGTATTTCTTGTATGGAGTAGCACAGATTTATTGCATTATTCTCCCCTCAAAAACTGGTACTACGTATGTAAAAACGTGCAATCGCCAATCTGGATAAAAAAACACGATCCACAATGTGACTCAGGTACACACCGAAGAGGTTCGATATACATACAGACTTGTGTAGTTCAGCCAAACCCTACCAAAAGTAAGATCGATCTATGCATACGTACTCGTGTACATTGATTTACCAGAAGATCAAGTCTTGACAAATCTACCTGGTTTAGTTTCAGGTGGGTAGAAAAATGAGTTGTGGTGCAACACATCAGAGCATTGTTCTCTTCTCCACAACTTTGTTTGACTCAATGAGGTGAGTGACTGTTTACTTACTCGCCTAAATATCAAGATGAGATAAATGACTCTCATCATCATCAGTCTCATCCTCATCCATCCAATGACTCAACCCAGACGTACATGCCTTCTTTCTTCATCTCATTTTATTATATTTCGTAGATGAATAATGCCACCAAAACTTTATATCTTGCATTCTATCAATGATTCTACATTTTTTAAACCTTATCTCTCAGCATTTAACAACTCAATCTCGTTGGCCAAGTCCGGAGCATTACGTGTGGAACGTGAAAAAATACAAGCGAGAAGTCCACAAGAATACTAATCAGTCAATGCCACATAATAACTAGAGCAGGATTTGAGGATTAAAAATTGGGAGTCCTGTCTCCGAATTCATTAAAACTTGACAGGTCCGTTCGACAGACACCCGCAGATTTTCACGACATTCGTTCTTGTAACGCTTCACACTAAAGCTTACCCCGACACCACTGCCGCAGGAGTAGAAAAGTTTGATCTAATCAACATTTACTGCTTCTTGGCTTCAGGAAATGTCAACATTTGATTTCATCTCTTAACACTAAGCTCACTCGGACTACTGCGTGTCGTGGACATTCAATCTGACATTTTTACTTGTGTAGCAATCAATATCCGTTTCGAATTTTTGAGTGGATAAGATTCTAGGAGCTGGCTTTAGAGTTTAAAATAGATATCTATACGTACATACATAACGAGATAACATAATACCCACATTTCACCATTCGTACCATAAATATTATTAGTCATACGTAATAAAGATTCAAAAAGTTTAAAAATAAGTTGATTTATAATCTTGTCAATTTCCATGTCCAAACAAAACGTAACAACGCAATGACTCACACACAATATGAAATTATTAGTCTAGGAAATGAGTCACAATAAGTACCCAATTCTCTAACAGATGCACGTCCCTTACGTAAGGTTTAAAATGACGACTTTATATTTAACAATCTACCCCCAAAGATGATGAGCATGCAAAAAGTCACTATTTGCTCTTTTAGTCAAGTCCAATAAATCAAAATCAAGTTCATCGAGTGCATTCAATGTCCAATTTTATTTTTTTAACTGGGTTATGTAACACATTTTATTTTTAGCTGAAAGTATTTACTTAATCATTTAATGATTGTTGTGTGTACTGATGTGCATTCTATTGAAGGATGATTCAAATTAGCATAAATCTGATTAAATTTAAACCTAATTCTTCCTCCTCCTTGTTTTGTGTGTTAGCAGTGACGGAGTGAGCGACGTGCGAATTTATTTATGTTTCAATGCTTGTTAACCTAATGCTTTTAATACTATTTTCATGATTGCATGTAGACAGATGCCGACCCATTATTCTCTCCCCATTATAAATCGACTTGTAATTAAACAACAAACTCCAAACTCGTGCTAAATAAAGACAAGCCTGACTTTAGCATGTTTCCTTAATATCTCTGCATTGACGGTGTGTCTTAAAACTTAATTTAATCCCAAGTGATAAAATGAACTGTAATTAGCATTTAATTGATAGACCAAATCAAGCTAATACATTTAACTTACAAGGGATACAAATAAAACAACACGGCCTCGTTAACCACTTTTTCACCACTCATGACTCACGACCACCTTTGCCAAAACCAACGGGATAGGAAAATAAATTGCGTTTGATATAAACGGCAAATTGGTAATAATAAAACAATACAAAACTCCATCTAATAATAATTACTCGGTGACAAGAGAATAATCGCAACAGTCTTCAAGCCAAGGTGTGAAGATAATAATAACCTTAATTGTTTCGAATTCAAAGAATAGCCGGAAAATATAAGCGATAAGGTTAACTACAATTCTGTAAAAATCAGAGGAAAATAAAAATGTGGATATCCTCTCCCATCCCCAGTCACAACATTTACCATTTTATTAATGAACTTGTGGCATCGTGTAATAACTCGGTTGGTGGAAATTAGTTAAACGTGTAAATAAAATGTCACCGTATTTCAATCGTCGTGAGAGTTTAAAAATTTCTCAAACTCAAATATCATCGTCACAATACAAATTAATAATCTAACTTTGCATCACAACTTTCTTTGTTCATTTTTCTATTACACATCATCGATACACCTCATCGCTTATGCGCACTTAATGGTTAAGCAACAACATTATTGCCATTGTTGGCTGTCATTTATCGCATTTAATAATTTACTCCTTAAAGGTTATTCTAAATGAATTAAAATAATTGTTCTTCAAAACTGTGATTTAAGTACCTCCGACGACAGAACCACTATTAAAGGATTTCTCCACTTCACCGTGTGTATTATAAAACAGACTCAAGTTCACAAACTTTTCCCACACGTTGAACAGCATACTCATGTGTGTAATGCATGTACATAACAATTCAAAACATCCACAACCAAGCAACAAAGTTTTAACGACACGTAACCACGAAGAGAACTTGACAAAAGACAGACTGCATTTCCTTGCGAGTTTAGCCACTAAATAATAATTACTTAACAAGTGCATCCTCTCTCAAAGTAAAGAATTAATACTTATCTTTAACTCCCATTCATCAAAACTTTTGCTACACAATGCTACTGACATGGTACGACAACACTTTCTACCCGCATTCTCCTCCTCGTCCACTTTATTCGATAATATAATAATCGTAGCAATAATCATACTTGTGAGAGAGAGGACATCACGGAACGCAACATGAACAATGGCAAGTGATGAAGCCAGTTAGTGGACAATTTAAAAAGTAAAGAGAGGCTGACTCACGAGTAGAATGCGAAATTTGAAGCCGAATTCAGAGTACAAACAATAGAATGCACGTGTCATGTTCCTCATAAACAACCACCAGAAGTACATACAGCCAAGTTTCACCCTCTTGAGCGAAAAATTTCTAAATTTTAATACCTCGTTATTACGAGAAGGACGCAGACAGATTAATGACGGATTATAGTGTTTAAATCCAATTTTAAGACGAAATTGTTGTTAAATAAATGCGCGGAGTAATTGTTTGGAGAAAATAAGAAAAAGTGATTAACGGAAATTATTAATGGTCTGATAAAAATGTTGGTGTACAAAAAAATTGTTTTTTTCAAACTTTTCTGCTATGCATTTGTTTGTAGACACAGCAAGTTAGTTATTCTTTAGCTTTGACATTGACCTTGACTTTTCCACCATTTCAATTTTGTATCGTTTGGTCAGCAAGAAATTTTGCATCTGATAGGATTCATTGAAAATTCTGTATTGTATTCCTTCACGTTTGATTGGAATAAGGGCTCCAACGAAAGGAGATTGGACGATCAAGAAAGATTTTAATCGTTTGTTTAGTTGAACGAGAGAGAAAGGATGTGCAGTCACCATCCTTATTTCATGTAAATTTACTTTGAATCTATCTAGCTTTATTTTGCTATGTATTTTACGACCCATGTCATCGCCGCAAATGCAAAAAGTGCTAAACAATGGAAAAAGGATGACTTGCAGAAGCATTGAAAAATGTTTGAATTTTCCGTATTACAGCTTGGGTAATAATGTAAAATTGTACATATGCACATAAATACTGTATGTGTAAGTATATGAGATCGTTGTCCGTTCTTAAGTAAAAAAAAATCCAGCAATAAATATTTAAAAGTGCAACAACATCTCACTACTACTCCCATAGTGCTTTCTTCGTGGATAAGTTTTTGTTCTGGAATACAACACCACGAGTTAAATTGTTCTTTCAATTCAATCAAACTTCCAATTGCTACAATTCTTCCATCCCTCGAGAACCCTCACTCTTCACCATCCCTCTTTCGCCCCCTATAAAAACCGAACATACTGAACGTGGACCATTGTGATGAGACAATGCAATTTAAAAGAGATATTGTACTCCTACAAGTTTATACGTATATTCCGAATGTATTCTACGTCAACATAATGGAGGATGTTATCTATCCTTCTAATTTCAAAGTTGATTGAAAATACAAGCCCTCTGCTTCACTTACTCTGCACTTCACAGAGTTAGAAACTGAACTTGTGTTGGCTGAACGAATCAATCAGCAGAAAAAGGTAAAACTCATGACCAGAAGAAGATGAAGCAGAAGTAAAAGGCATGAATGATGAGAAAACAATTTCATCTCTGAACAGCACAGCAGACTCGATCAACGGTTAAAATTTCAATTTCGGATTCTTGAGAAAATGTGCAATGTCCGGAGGAAATGAAGAGGAGGATCCACATGGAAGGAAATATGGAGGGATAATGGTCAGCTGCATTCTCCAGAAAGAAGAACGAACCTTAACTTCAATTGAAAAAACAGATGTATATATTTATACATATGTCCACTTTTACTCTTACCACAAAAATTACCCAATAGACAACCCCTGGTGGTTTGTAAAAGTGGGGAGCTCGTACAATTTTGTAACGGGAAAGACAGGAAAAATGTGCGTGGAAGGAATACTGGTAAGTCGATACCCAAAGAATCACCTCGCCTGGAACCGTTTACAAAAGCAAATTCTAAAAATACGTGCATGCATATTTGTACGATGGAGTCAAAAAACGAGAACATTTGATTGTTTTTTCAGTTACATTACCACCAAACTGAAAAAAACATGAATTGAAGAAGCTTCATTTTCCGGTAACGTATTTATTCTTTATCATACTATGTAAATACTTTAGTTCCAGGTGTTGCGGAGAAAAATTTCTGCGTCATCCCTTTACATACGAAGTTTAGCTCAAAATTAGTCATAATGGAAACAATGAAATTAGTCATCTGAAACGTTTTCAAAAGGGCTTAAGTCTAATTTTTTGCGACCCAGACAAGTTCATAATGAGTGGTACCGTGGAAGGCGTCATATACTTAAAAAAATCAAAAGTTATTTGATATTTATCTCTTTAGTGTCATAAATTTTCTAAAATCTTAATAGGATTATGATTTTTTGCATATGTTGAAGGTACATGCACTGCGTAGGACAGTCAACAGTGAGGTGAGACAGATAACGTGAGTATGAAGGTAAAGACTTGAATTTATGGATCACGTTTAATTTGTTATTATGAAACAATTTTAATGCCGTCTAGTTCATTTTTATGATCAAGCTAGGTCACTGGAAAGGAACAAATCTCTTGCAGGTATGATGGAAGGGAGACACAACTACTTCTTATTCTTCTAAATAACTTTACTTGGACATTACATATAACAGGTATACATCCAAAGTAAAATACAATAAGCGACTTTAGAAAAACCTGATTGTCCCGAGTGTCCTAATTGACAGTGACATGACAGATTACGGATCAAAAGATTCTTAATTGTCGTAAAAAAAGATGATCACCTCAACTTCCACTTGTTTAGCTCATTGAGCTCAGCCACTTAATAATAATAATAATGAGACTTGGAGGAGTAAACAATTGTTTACTCCTCCAATTTCGGTACCTTTTCATTAACGAAGTAGCGTTGCATTTCGGTACCTTTTCGTCGGCGCCTAATCGTTACATACTGTGTAGCTCGGGAATACTCCAGAAACAACAAAAACTGCTCACTAAACAAAGATTAAGAAATTCCAGCAAATACAAACAATTAATGTTGGCATTGTGAAGCTATAGCTTTGCAGTTTATAAAACAACCGCATGATGGACAACCAACCAAATAATAAATGCAAATAAATAACACAATCAACATTGACGCTAAATACTGGACATAAAGAAATATTATTCAATTCATCTTATTACGCCATATGTTGCAAAAAGTGAATGTCCACCTGTTGATTTTGACATTATACGCCAGTGTAAAAGCAATTAGGTGTTTGAGAGAATTGAACCCAACTTTCAAGATCAGGATCAGATCAGCTAGTCCTCAATCCTCATGCATCACTGTAACATGCCAATTGCCTAAAGGCAACAAGTTCACAAATTTTCGCGTACAATTCGCAGGAGGTTGTTAAATTTTGTACCTAAGACCCTGCATCTGTCCAATTCTAGCAAAACTTTTCCCATCCATCTTTCTGATGACGATTTATCGAAAATCAACCTCGACAGAATAATTTACAATCTCATTTCGGAATATCCCATCGTTCATTCATCTTCTTTTCAACTCAAAAAATAATTCAAGTTCCACCCATCAGTCTAGAATCCATCCAGTTCATATGATTTTGAATAAAATAACGAACTAAATATGAATCGTAAATAATATCCTTTCTCCATAAGTTACATGCAACTTTTGTGCATAATCACCAGCTACAGCTTCCAACAAGGTGGAGAAGAGTGCAACAAGCGGAGGATCCCCATCCATGGAAGGATTTCCATCCACTCCAGCAGTTTTTCTCCAGTCTGCTATCTTCAATTCCTCAAGAAAACGTGCTCAGCTTAGAATATTTTTGTCTGTGGTAATTTTACTTTCATATATTTCAAACTCAGTATTACGCATACTCACATTGTGAAGCTAGCAATGCAACCTCATCATCATCGATACCCATCCATCCACGTCTGAACCAATGCAATACCTCGAGGGCATAGCTTCAAGTGCAGGGCAAGAAATCACCACAACCAACCACCGCACCGCAGATGGGGATGAAGTTTTTGGCCTTGGGTGGATAATGGACGTGAAGAAGAAAGGAGAGACGAGATGCAAGTCAGCGATACTGCCAGCCATAAATATACGTAATAGGAAAAAGTAAACCTGGCAACAGCCGTATAGGAAGTCTTCTCATAGCCACCCCCACCACTACCTTACCTCTCTTACAACCATTATTAGAATACAATGCCGCCATTTAAGGTACCTACTGCTGGAAAGTGTAAGAACCTGAGATTCTCAACGCTACAACCCCCCAGCCGTACATTCGTCCGTAGTGCTCTTCTTTCACGCACTGTCGCATCTTTCTCGTCTGACTAGTTTGAAACCTATGTGCCTTTCTTTCATTACAGCTCATTGGACGCAAGCAGCGAGTTCATACATGGGCGCAAGCATCCACTCTCGGAGAATAAATGGACTTGGTTTTTTAATATGCATTATCTCAGCTTCTGCTGCAACTCTGCCTGGGATGCAAGGAGATGTAAATGTAAGGGGATGAACGATGGAGGCAGAACAGCACTAGCAATCTAAACAGTTTTTTTGTGCAGCTATAAAGGTGAAGCCAGTAAGACACTCTGTTCACATGTGCACTTTACAAGATTCCATGTTCATCCATTTTCCTGCATCAACAAGTTTGTCTTCATTATTTCTTGCAGGGAAAACTTTTTTTTAAGTTGTACGCAACATATGCATTTAGTTTGCAAGTATTTGTTATGACGCAATATTGGATATTCCTGGAATTTTGTAATATTTGTCCCTTTAGATAATCCAGCAGTAGCAACCAACACGCCTTTACACGTTAATCAAGGAAATGAATTTGACAAATTTCAATTACTGGAATGCTGTTCACTGGGGATTGGTAAGCTTTTACAAGAAAATGGGATTTATGTAGTAGAGACGCTTTCCCACCTTGCCAAGAAATGCACTATTGTTACAAAGCACAGAAATTATAACCATGTTAAATATTGCTTAACCATATCCTTTTGATGCCAAATGAGAGGTTGTTCTATTTGGAGAAATCTCATGAATACCACCGCAACACATTTAAAATAACAATGAGATGAAATTGGACGTTGGGAACTTTATTATGCGTATGTATATTTAGTACTGCAATCTGAATACAGTCTGAATATTTTAGCAAGATATACGTGCATGCATCACGTACATATGCATACACAGATATATGGAAATGGAAATACGTCTTTACCACCCAACCACAGGATCTTCTTGTAAATCAATCAAGAATAGAATTCCAAGCTGAAAGTTTTAGTTTAAGCAATGAATTTCCTTCAGGAATGCAGTAAAATTTAGATGCCACTTTAATGCGAGCTACAGGGTGTAGAATTTAATTGTCTACAGTTAAAGAATTTATTTAAAATAAAAAATGTTTACTTTCGGGATTTAAAATCTCGTTTTTCAGTCCCCACCTAAATCAACATTCACTTTGTTATTGCAACCACCAAAAATTTAGTGGCACGATCTAAGCCTCTAAAACGAGAACAACAAAGACAAGCCAAGACACGATACCAACATTACGTGAGGTGACACATAATACGTCGTGACCAACTCAGGATGATAACTAAATAGTCAAACAGCTCAAAACAATTAAAATTGCTTCTTTTTGTATTCCTTACAAAGCACCCGTTACTGTTTACTTTTACACCATTTGCAATTGTTCCACCGTTATGCAATAAAATAAAATAAGTAAAACATTATACACCTTCTTAATAAAATGATGCGCTATAGAAGAAGAGATGATGCTATTTTTGTACCAAAATTAATGATCTCTTCACACACACACAAATATATATAGTTCGTAGTTACATACATTCGTCTTACTTTTCTTGCGTAAGGAATTCCCATTCCTACTGTGAAACCTAAATAAATAATTGCCAACGCATCCGCCGTTGGTGTAATTGAATGGATCATGCAATGAGCAAACAATTAACTTTAGAAAAATGACAATAAGATACTGCACAACAATTAATAAACTCTCTTCTGCGTCTTCGCCAGAGGATGCAGCATGTATGTACCAATTGGGTTAATCAATCAATTACCCCACAAATTCGTTCATAAAAGTGCTCGATGATTAGCTCAGAGAGCAATGATCAACGTACATATATATTCATAAGTATATACACATGTATTTATGCAAGTATGCATAAATGGTCTTATTCAAGAAGTATGTAAGTGAGCTCTATGTGACTTTCAATTCCAACACTCTGATTAATTAAATTAATTACAAAGTTAGAAATCATCATCAAGAACTAGAAATCCCAATCACCAATTGTTGATAGGAACAACAACCTACAAAATTTAATTAGCAATTATCTGAAAAGGTTTCATAAATTATTAATTCTTGTTTAAAAGATGTTGTGCGCTATGCAAAAAAAAGTTTTCTTGTTTTTGTGACGTAAATGGGATATATTTCTACTCAAATTGACTGGTTATTGATTTTCTCTTCAAATTAAATTATCATAAAATAAAAGAATATTTTCACGAACCTTGTCTGAAAGAGGATTTTACTTGAGTCCCGTCCTGCCATGAGGCGGACACCCCGACAAGAACCAGTTGAGAAATGACCACAGTGAGGTAAAAGTTGTAATTGGACTTCATTTTACTGACTCTGCGTTTGGATTTTGATGGATATTTAACCTCTTGATGAGATGTTCCTCTCCCTCGAATTACATTACTGGTTGGTAACTGATGACCGTCATCCTCGTTTTCATTGCCACCTGTAAGCAAATAAAAAATAACCACGATTAATATGGAATAAATACAAACAAGATACAAACATTAATTATAAATCATACATATTTAGATGTAAATTTAACAAGAATAAGTAAGACAGCTCATGAGTAGTCTTCAAATTTTAAATGAAAAGTCACGAGTCAAGAGTCGCAACTCAAAAACTCGCCATTTTAATCTTCCTCAAAGTCGAAATTCATTTTAAAGGTTTAATTTAATAATATGTCCAGTCCAAGAGTAACAATTAACTCTCTTGATAAAAATTCTTCCGTGTGTCTTTGTGCTTTTCATTGCTTACATATTCGTCAGAATATGTGTGCACAATAATCGTAATAAATCAGTAGTTGGTCAGTGATGCCTTGTTGTTTGTGTTGGTAACATTTATACAAATTGTGCATACATACAATTCTGACGTATAGAGGTCCGATATATTTAATAATAGTAATAAAAGAATTGAATGATATACACAGACAGATGCATAGACACGTCTGATTATTATTCTTCACAGTATTAACAATATTGCATATGCAAATTCTCTACATTCGCGAGTGAGTGATGACATTCAAAGAGGAAAGAATTCGCTTTTGAGAAGAAATCCTTCAAAATCAACAAGATTCAATAGCTAGTAGAAATTCTTTCTGCTTTTTTGTTCCCGTGTTGATTATGGTGATCCAGGCAATAATGTGAAGGGAGTATTATACAAAGCACAATTTTTTTCACGTATATAAATAATGAACACCTTCATGTACTAAATAATCCACTAATCAAACTACTTCCATAATCAGTGGATCCTCAACAGCCTTAATTTTTAATTGTGTTGGCCTTCAGAATTATTTCAGCGACGACGACGACGAGCATCACATTTTTCATAACGTCTGCATAGCAGCCTGAGCATTTTTGTAGACGACAAGAATTAGACGAAACGCTTCAATTCGTCCTGACTTTAAGTTGAAACATTGATTGCAGTGTTTACGACAAAGATCACGTCTTGATAAATTATTGTGATTATCATCCTCCACGTCATTATCAAGATTGGCGCAATTGAAAGTTGCAATTACTTTTTTACCCCATCAAAATCAAGTACAAAAGAGACAGAGATGCATGGACATTTTTCTGGGACTGGATATCTACACATGTTCGCATGTAATAAGCGACAAGAGAAAACCAAGTTCAGTTGTTATTAAGCCACTGCTGAAGTGATAATCTGCAAATTACTTTACAGACCTCGAGCAGCAGTCCTGTGGAGTAATGACAAGCAAAAACACGCTTCCTCGACCAAAGCTACCTAATAAATACATAATTGTCATTTACCAGAATTAATGTTATGGCTTGTGGAGTGGACAACAAAAGTGTCACCATCCCAAATAAAAGTATACATTTGCCATGTCTGCTCACCCTCCCATAAAAACACCCGTCTTACTATTAAATGGCTTTATGCTTAGACCATCCTACTCGAAATTACAGTATTATAACTTGTTTCCAAGCCTCATGCACGAAATTTTGCTCATTGGTTTGCAAAACCACTTTTACAGAATAAGTATAGTTATCGGTGTCCAGTCGAAAAAGTCGTGTCAATTGCCATCCATCTCTTCAACTGTTTAATTTACATGAATATAACTTATCCGACACACGTACGTGCAACTCTCCAGCCAGATTGGACAGATGTGACAGCTACAAGCCCAAATCCTATTTATTTTAATTTCGCAATATAAAAGACCACACATAACACACGCCGTATGTCGTGCCACACATAAAAATGCATTAAAGCGAAACGCTGTGCACTTTTACTGTGTTGCTAACTTGGACAGAGTGCGAATTACATTATTCTGCACATTCATAGGTACGCTAGCCTCTAATCCAAATATATTGTTGCAACTGATTTGTGTTAGATTCGCTCGTTTGTGATCTATTTATCGACACAGAATTGAGTACAACTTATTTCCTCCTCACAGTTGGTCCTTATTTCGTGTAGGGCTGATCATTATAATTTATTTTCTCATTATATATATTCAATCACTGTATGTTTGGTGTGTGTATATATGTTTTTAGATTTGTTTGACCAGCACCCCCATTATTATAACACAATGAAATTTGATTCATTGAGGTTCTTTAAGCCTTCGAGGCTTGGAAATGATATGGATCGAATCACAACAGAATGAGTTAATGAATTCAATATCGTCGCTACGAAAGTTTAACCCAGCCCAAATTGACTACCTGGAATCAAAACTGAGGATGAAGCATGATGGTGGAATATGGCACACGCCCTGCCAAATCCACCACAAACTAACATCCTACAATTTAATGACTGCCTCACTCAGGCATACATTTTAAATTGTATGAATAAACATATCCTAGATTTGACATAATCCAATAATAAATGCAATAAGCGAGATTTTAAATAGTTTCGAGTTAAGTACTATTTTTATTGGGATTTGTTTTAATAAAGTAACTGCGAATCAAGAATGTTCAGTACCTGGAGATTTAAAAACGCATATAACTGCAAAGCAAATAAACAATGATGAAACACAAAATTGCAGCATGCATATGTACATGTAAGCGATAAAGTCACTGTGAACATATCACTTTTCACCTTCATTATGCTATTCGTGTGAAATGATGGTGGTCATACAGAATATAAATTATGGCATTACACGTGCTGATGTCAAGTGATGTTGCTGTCTGTTACTTATCGCTTTTTTCTCTTAAATAATAAGGAATTCGACAAGTCTCCCGCTGGCCCATTATCAACGTGATTCATGTTCAGCAAGAACTATTGACAATCAAAATCTTACATATAAATGATCAAGTGTTCGTTTGTTTCTTGGTACGTGCTACCATTTAAATTGGTTATTCATTGGTTATCCGAGCTGTACAATGCTTCACAAAGAAATGTACAACTGTGCATAAAAAATGGACACTGCAATGTTAATCATGGGTGAATGAAATGCAATCAAACCCAACGTACCAAAAAACGCACCAAGGTGAAGTCGTACGAGATAATAAGGGGCTGCTAAAACCAAGGTATATGCAGATGCATGTATGTTATGACTAATGCTACACAACGGCTAATCATGCATGTGCCACGCCATGACAAATAATGCCAGTGGCAAATGGCGATAATGTGGTTGTGGCCACTTTAATTGTTCCGTGGAGATATCTGAAACGGTTAACTTGCAGGCAACAATTGCCCATTATGTTTGTTTTATATTGTACGTGCAAACTGATCCTGTCTGGAGGTGAAGTGTATACAATTTTACTTCGCGGAACAATTTTCAGATAACAATTACAGGATATGGACGATATTTAGATTATTTGCTAACCACGCTGAATTACCATAAGATATTTACTTAATGGTTGTTTAAGAAAGATAGATAAACTGATCCGCAACTTATATATGCATATGTGTGTACGTTAAAAAGTATGAAATTACTTGACGCGACAGAATATCCATATGCAAATGTCCATACACACATGTGCACTTATTATAGACTTAACGACACATAATAATCACAATTTTTTGTCTTGTAAATTGACACTGATCAACCGAAACGTGAGTAAATATGTACAGTACCACATTCATTTTAAGAAAGAATTATTTGACCCTGGAATTTGCCAATCATCAAGTGCCTAATTTTGTACTTGTCGCCACAAGCGTATTGCGATAATAACAATAAAGTTCAAATTTCTCAGTGATACGAAATTGAAATGAGAAGAAAGTTATGTTACTGATATTTAGAAACCCAAATAAGTATTTTACAATGGACGTTTAGAAAAAAGTCAAATAAATCTTTTAGTTTTCAATCACTAAACTACGCATATTGTGGATGCAAAAAAATCTTAAATAAATTACATAAATATTCTGCTTAAAATTAATTACTCGTCTGGCCGATATCGATTTAAAAAGTCATTCTGGTAAATTGAATTGGCCCCCGATCAAAAATTCTAAATAGTTTATCAGCTAAAACTACAAATACTTGACCAGGCCCACATATGTACATACACATGTGCATAAATATATACATATGTACATACATATATGAATGAAAGGAATAATTGTACACATACATACATCTCTGCGAATATAATCTATACTAAAATGAATAAACTATATTGCTACTATATGAATACCAAACAACCTCATATCTCTCCCGATAAAAGGACCGAAGAAGTACTTTATTTATTACCATTCAAAAGAAAGTCGAGCCCAACCCCAATAAATTCACACACAAACCCAGAGACACACAATATTTATTATTCAATTCACTGCTTAGTTCTTCTTAACTGAAAGGGAAATCAAAATCAATTCAACACAAGTCGATCCTCAATCGAATTCCAATCAGTAATCAGTGTCCATCCCCATCCCATTCTTGCTTCATTGTTTTAACTACTTGCCAGACTGCACAAAAACAAAGCATCTTATTTTTTACTGGCTGGTGGTCGGTGTGGTAAGAATGGCCTGCGTAACTAGCAACTAATTTACAATTACGTCGCCTGCAATTAATTTAAAAATTTAGTTTATGAATAAATGCAATAATGGGCAGAACCTCGAGCCAACTGTTGGCTATTGTTTTTTGAATGGTGATTTGATGATTTCAATTGGATTCGTAATTTCAATTGACGGTGCATTTCGTGTTATGTTTTATGCATATTGATTGCATTTTATACACATGCCGTAAAACATGTACTGATTGATGCACGTGTTCTACGGCGTGTAATGTGCCTGCTGCATGCATGCAACAACCCTACAAGATCAGTCCCATTTCTTTAATTTAACCATTTAATTGGAGTATCAACATTTTTTTGGATTTTCACTTTTATAATCTTATTCTAGCAGAAATGCGATGTTTCTCGTCGTCGGCTCGAGCCATTTAATTTCCCAAACAATCGATTGTTCTACCCGTGGCTGCATATATAATTTCTCAATAAATGATTGGATAGCTTGACCAACTGACTGAAACAGAGCCAGGTTGTGAAATTGTAGAAATCCGATAAATGCAATTCACTTAGCATAAAAAGTGGAACTTGACCCGTGCGCATATATTATTGCGTAAACTAATTTATCATCTTTTGAAATCGACAACCAATTAAATAAATTGCTCGTGGAAAGGTTGTGAATATATTTAGTGATATCTGTGTACCCGTGTAAGAGCACTATGTACATATATAAATATTGAGCTATACCAGACATTGGTCAGACAAAATCTCCCCAGGTTTTCACTCGCAAAAACCTTAATATGCAACATGCGACTGACTGCAGTATAATAATTCCGGTTGTTTCTGGTGGAGTCAAAGGTGAGCCTCGTGTTGTGCGAATTAACTATTCGAATTCGTGTAACACGACAAGAAAAAGTGTAGAGTTGTATAATAATAATAATATACAAAATAGACTTTTCGATTTCATGTGTCAACCACCACCCAGTCATTTTATTTAATGCATCTTTGCAAGATCTTCTGTGCAACGCAAAACAAAATTGCACCGAGACATTCAAAAGTTTCAACTGACAACATGCAATAATAAAATACCCACTCATTTTCTATGTAATACAGAACAATATGCAGTTAATTTACAACGTTGACAACATTCAACAAAAATTAAATTAAAGCAGTTATTAAAGTTTTTACAAAAGAAACACGCACTCAGTTCTGGTGCATCCAGAAAATTTTGCAATTACGGAAGACCACACCTTTTGGTTTTGAATAAGAAATTGGCCCTTGCATTTTTAAATTTTAAAACGTACATTATATTGTAAATTTAAGCTATGAAAGAACATTTGTTGTGACGGTGGTTGGCTACGCATTACCACGGAGGAATATTATTTTGTTTCATCCGTCGAAATTAGTTACGTGAAAGATTCATTAGCTGAAATCATCTTAATTCATGCATGCTTCATTTTTGTTTACTCATTTATCTTTACTCGGTACCAAGTTAAATCTAAACTGTACCAAGGAAATTCTGCTCTTACAAACAGTTACGAGTGCAATATTTTTGTCATTATGCAGGTCTTGCCAGACAGTAATTGTCAAATTCTAATGAAAAAATACATTAGCTACGTAAAACGACCAAAAAGGTATGTACGGTTTGTGATTGTCATCTTTCAGCCTGATGACTAAATAAAAAATCTCAACGCAACAATAAGCAGACGGTGCATGGTGGTGAAGCAAGGTGGACATGTATTAAATTAAGAGAACCGAATTACGTTGACAGCCTGTTAATTCAGTTGATTCACCTCCACATACATACGTACATATAAGCTAAAAAAACAACCTCGGATTACAGCATTGCTACCACAATAATACGCAATCTGTTCTTCCATGAACCTTCCTGTTGGTAACTAAATTTAGGTTCGGGTATGCTATCAGATCCACACCCAGGCAAATGATATTATTCCAACGAGCGTGTTAATCTAGAACAAGAGGAGGCTGGTTGCTTAATCTCTTTCCAATTTGGAGCAGACGAAACTAAAACCAAAATAAGAAGGACAGGAAGCCAGTCATTTGTTTGGCGTGGCGTATTCAGTTGAAAGAAAGTTTGTAACGTGATTTTGGTTCAAGGATCTCCCTTCAACTTAATCAACAGGTTGGATTATCAAACTTGGGTTGCACGAAAGCTCTGAAAATAAAACGGTTCCCAGATTTCCAGTTTTGTTTTCTGTCTGCTGGACGGCTGTGTCTTGCCTGCTAATGAGTTGTTGAACATTTGTTGCCCTTGGTAGACAGAGTTCTATATATATTTCTACATTTTTAACAATAGGTGAAGAAATGAGCACTATCAGTGCTCGTCATCTAGTTACGAGTAGAAAAAGCAACGTGCATTTGATATTTCATCAAACTACAATATATTTTTACAAGATACATATTTTTTTCTAATTCGGCAAAATGTTGTACGTATGGATAAGTGTTGCGCGATTTCATTGTCTTGGTTCTGACTCACAGTTCCTATTACTGCCAGACTTTAGATGGAAAATGCAACAGGTGGCTTCTTCTTTACCTTCCATGTCCTCAATAATGGATCAACCCAGCAGTCTTTTGCCACATAGTAAAATAGGTACAAACTCTTGAGTATAAAGGTACTGGCCAAATAGAGGATGTTAGACTTTCTTTATTGTGGGTCATAGTTTCGCTCAGACAAGTATTATACACTTCGCTCAGATCCTTCCCTTTTATTTGTTTCACTTAGCAGACGCTGGATAAAACATAGGAACATATATAAATCTACGAAGCCAAGTTTGCCGAACCAGCCATCAATTTACACCTGAAGAGAAGATGCATTTAGTGAAGAGAAAATTTCTAGACTTTATTTTATTCCATTTAATATTCTCCTTCGCGTTGGTTTAAAATAATTTTACTAAATGTCCAGTAATAAGCCCATGGAATTGAATATGTAAGATGTTAAGCTCGTACTTCGCACTTTGAACCCGGTCCAAATGATGTTGATTTTATCTCTTTGTACATTTTTGCTAATTCAATTAGGCATTACATCTCTACATGGAAGGAGCTATATTTATTCCTTCCATGCACGGTTTAATTTTACACACTAGCGATCTTTTCCACCAGGTTTTCACTTATGTATGTACTTGGCTTTAAATTCCCATAAGTATTATTCTGATTTATTTTAAATGACTTTGTCAGTTAGTTATCAGTCTATCATAGACATATGCCTTCTTGTTCTTCAAGCATCGCATCCGCAAGTGATCTACTGCCAAAGGTCTCAAGATGGCAGCATCCGAAGATTACCCACCATTTGAAAAGACTGAATTATTCATGTGACAAGTTAGAAATTAGAAAGTAATTTAGCCCAACACCACTTTTTGCTTTAAATGTCCCGAAACATGAAAATGCATGCAAATTAAATTAAATTTAAAATGCATCCGGTTTTGGTTTTCTACCGCACACTGAAAGTGCATCCACTTTTATGGTTGTCACTCACTTTTTTAAACGCGACATTTTTTAAAGGAAGAAACCTTATCTGGTCCTGTCTCTCAGTTGCAATACGTCGTTGCAACACAGTGACGACTTACGATTCTCAATAGAGCTGTTCATCATTGCATCTTTACCGTTTTGTATTCTGTAAGTGCACGTCTCTCGAGAGTATGGAAAAATTCTAGGAATGTCAATTGATTCAACCCAGCAATAAAACTGTCTCGTTGACCACAGCACCACCACTTAGCCATCCAAAGGAGCCATAAATTTTCAAATTGATAGCCCATTTGCTTATTAGCTACTTACATTATATTAAAGTGAATATGTGATAAATGACTTTTGCGCTGAGCCAGTTCGCTGGTGGCTAAACAATAAAATTCTTTAGAAGCTGACAGGGGAGAAATCTGTGATAGTGGCATTGATGAGCAAGAAGGGAGATAAAAGATAGCAAATAAGAATTTTGAACCGGATGCCACACAAAGTCGTTCGTTTCTTCCCTACAAATGATGTCTCCTCGTAACTAAAAGCCCGTTGGAGTTGAAACCATCAGACATCGGAAAGATAATCTAAATCCTGGCTGCTGGTCTGGCAGATAAACGATCTCTTCTGTCATCAATTTCTGCAAAGAAAGGACACAAACTTCGACCTACTGCCAGTAAATGTTGGCGATGATACAGGTAGTGAATCAAAAATGAAGAATCGCATTTGTTCCACAAACTATGCACAGAGCATACACTGTGCCATGTATTAATCCTAAGTATGTAGCTAGAAAGGTGGTGCTCACGTGTAAGTTTAAACATCACTGAATAAAATGGCAGAATTTCCCATCACCATAAAATGCCGTTTAGTTAACAAGACTAAGGAAATCTTAAATGGAAAATTTGATAATGCGGATAAGCTGTCACTTAACTTTCAGCATAATTTAAACCCTTGAGAGTGAAACGAAATTTGGAATAGTTTATCTATTTGAACCTGCAAAGGTTTGGTTAAATTGTTCATTAATCATTTGACCGACAGACAATGTTTTGCATTAGGTTGTCCACGTTTATGTGGAAGTAGGCAGAGGTGAAATTAAATACACTGCATCTTTCATATTTTCTCCATCAGAGATCCCATAAGTTAGTTATTGGCATCATTTGCATTTTCGATTGGAAAAGTAGGTAGACCACAACGCATGTCAGACCGTAGGCAACAGTACCACCATAATCATAAACTATCCAATAAAATCAATGTATTTGCCTAATCAGTAAAGCCAAAACTTTGCGAAGCACGTTATAAATTTTGTTCTATTGTCCTATAACTGCTCTAACGAACGGAAAACCATTCATACGTACATATATAAATTTACACAACTACAATATAAGATCTGACACTCGGAAGAGTGGGCCAGAAAACACATGTACCCACACAGCTCATAACAAATATGAGTACAATATGTACTGAGGATTTAAGGTTTTACAAATTTCTCTTGTTTTGTTTTCTGATAAGCATAATACAACTGTAATTAATGCAATACCAACCCAGAACTTGACTTGACCACCATCACTTGGATTTACGAGACAAGACCAAAATTGATATTTCTTGGTACATAATTCGTCATTTAATTTAATACAAATTGATAATAAAAAAATTCCTGCAACATGTAATTAGCATTAAGAGAGCGAAGACAAGGACAGGTTTCAACTTAACTTGATCTAGTGCTTTGATTTTGTATGTATTCTCATTTACTTTGCTAAATAAGTTATGCATATGTGCATACACATCTACTAAAATTAAGTTATGAATGTGTTTCATTAAGTCTGGGTGTCACTGGTAGTGGTGTGGCATATGCCAACAATTAGGTTAAAGGTAGGTCACAGTTGTGGTAAATCTCTTGGTTACATGACTAAAAGTGTATGCTAATGGTTTTGCATTTACATTTTACAACCCTATCCACCAGCAGCGTGAGATGTTGCAATGCTACATCTCATGGTGCTGCAGATGCCAGGATGAGCTAAACCTAGGCTAAATAACTTTATTGCCAAACTATACAACTTTAAGGCTGGGATAATATAAAGTAATATGTATGTAGTGCACTTTAAATTTCACGGGTGTAAAATGAACGTCTAGCCAGAAACTGAAATTTAAATCCAAAACTGTGCCATACAAAGTCGTCAAGAACGATATATTATTCTTACAGATCTGAACTTGGGGATCCACAAAGTGACAAATAAATTTTATAGCACAATAAATAAATCGTTTTTAATTTATTTTATTACAATTTTAAAAATGAAACCGGGCCAGGTACAAGTCTCTCTTTAAGCACAAAGTTGCCAAAAATTTCTACGAAGGATTTCTACTGTAATTTATCTAAGGTAGACGTTTAGCAAAATCGTCTGAAAAGTCTGAAATAAAGTTGTTTCTAAGATTTTATCACGATCCTATCAGTGTTTTAAAAAGGTAAGAAAGATAAAATTTGGGTTGATTTCTAGAACAAATATTGTATGTTTAAACAATAAGGATTTTAGTGAAGATTCTTATCAACGTCAGTCATATTGGGATGATGCCTAAATCCATTAAATATTAACCAGGGTAGGGGTTGAGGTTACAGGATCTCAAGTCGAAACTATTTCCAAGCTTGACATTAAGCATCAGAATAGCAGAGACAAGACGGTCGCCTATGTATTTATGTAAGTCATTGGGAGACAAATTCATGTCCAACTCCAAATGAAGTCAGCGTTCATCCAAACCAAATAAATAAACCAACACGTATGTATTTAGAAACGCAGATATATGTACGGTATACATGCATAAGTCTGATATTTGATTTAGCGATTTTATGGCACTGTTATTGTGACTAAACCTGCATGGGTTGATGACTGAAACCTGAAAATGGACTTTCTACATTTTTGTGGTTTCCTTCAACATTAAGGATCTCAAAAGTTAGTAAAATACATACGTATACTCTAAATGTGTGGGTGTGTGCATTATTTTGGTTTGGTTTACAAGTACAAAGTTTGGAGGGAAACCACTCTAATTTGAGATATGAAAAAAATTGTGTATTAAACAATCCTACTTTACTTTTCTCCTACTGACAGATCCTTCCTTGTTTATGTTTCTGCCAGTCTTCTTATCCCAAAGTTTGAGTAAGATTTTAAAGCTTGGATCCCGAAGAAGTAAACGTAAGTAGTAAGGAGTGCCCTATATGTGTAGTTCCATAGTTAGTGTAACGGTACACAAAACAGACGCACATCTCATGTACGTATACGTAGGTTAATGTGTAGGGTCGTAACTATCAAGAAATCTATCGCTGCTACAGAAATCTAGACCCTATGGATTGAGATTGATGAGAGCAAAGTAAGGACTCTGCCCCTCGGTCATTAAAGTACCCTTCAATTTCTTCACAAGGCATGGCTGGAAGCAGAAGAAATGGCGCCTCGAAAACATCAACAACCAGCAACAGGCACACAATGAAGGACCCTTTCAGGATGACTGCTACTACGCCAGGCAACCATCGTCCTCCTCCTTCTCGCCCACATAAAATTTAAAATCTGGCAAGGCTTCTATTTCTCAGCTTTCAAAATCAAGATTGACTCCTGCCTTTCTACCCGGCCCTTTTCCAAAGCTGTGTAACAGATATTATACGATGCCTCTCTCCCCTCCTAAAATTGGATTCATTACATAAGGTTGCTTCCTAACTAGCCAGTTATTATTAAAACTTAAATACGCTTCTATATTTGGAACATGTACAGAAGCGGAGCAAATCCATCCATCGTCTTGAAGCACACGCCTCAGACAGACAGAAGGGAAATGTGTGTGGAAACTTAAACCAAAATACACAAAAGATGATGCACTTTGAAACAGGCAGGAAAGAAAACTGTCTGTAAAATCACAACTTTTTTTAGCAGCAATAAAATAAATTTTAAATTTTAATTAGATTTGCCGAACCCTCATTCAATTATTTTTCAGTCTCGTTGGTCATTCACAATTTATTCTAATCTAATATTGCATACCCAAACATGGAGCTTCAACCTAATGTTTGTTTACAGCATCTCTCTGCACTCTAACCGTATGCATACAATCGTAAATTAAATTCATTTTTTATATTCGACTTCAAATTGACTTGCTAAATTTTGTCTGAATTTACATAAGCATATAAATATAAATGTAATAATTTTAAATCTGCAGGTGTGCATAATCATGCAGATAGTAGATTATAAATCGCTTCAAGTACAAATGCCTGCGTAGAATTGTTGTTACTACGGTTTGTAAAAGTGTACTGCAGGTTAGATAAGTAATTAAGATTCTGACTTCAAATGGTGAAAAACGACATTGAAACAGGAGTAGATCTCAGTCATAACATAGCATTGGCACTACCGTAAAGGGGACACAAATGGATATGAAAAATCTCCTTCACTTGCTTTGTTTATGAGCTTGTTGTGGTTTTTTCAGGTGATTCTTCTGGTTCTATTCTGTTGATTCACAGACATTTCGTCTTTGTACTGACAAGGAGTTTATTCATTCCAAATCCAGTTCCTCGAGCTTTATTCACAACTTTATAAAACATTTGCATATGAAACAAATTTCCAAGTGGAGTCTAATAGTGTGTCACATTTACATTACAAAAAACGAGTATCACACATTTATGAAGTGATGGGGTGACATATTTCCTTTGCAGACAATTACTTGGAATTTCGTATGAGCTATATGCTCATTTCCCATTTGAGGGAAAAGAATGGTTATCATGTAAATTTATAATTTTAAGGAAGACACTACTAATCAAAAGCGTTAAGTAAGTAATTGGCACAATTTGGCAAGGCCAACATTTACAACACGATTTCTTTGGTACATGGAATATTGTTTGTATTCGTGTACATATTTAATAATAAAATGCAAAACATGATATTTGAGAATGTCTAATTGAGTTGGAATTTGTATTGCTAATGAAATGCTGATATTAGTGTCCAGGATGTTTAATGTACGTCATCAAAAAACTAATGGTCACGTTTATCCAGAAGCAAATATTCCGTCGTTTAAAGAAGCAAGAAATTGGTTTGCTAAAAAACATGCAATCGTGTCGCTTTGAATTTTCCATGTATGTATTAAATTAGGAGTAAATGAGAGTATGTATTTGCATGAGATTTGCACGACGAGTAAGACGCAGATACAAAATTTCCTATATAGATATCTATGCAAGTAAGAGCTATAGATTTCACGGTAAGGGGGATGCACGATGACTGTATATGCGACACGACTACATACATCTGTATATACAAATTACGTAAAATATATGACATTGCATTGCGATCAGTCAGTAATGCAATCCTAATACTTTAATTTACTAAAACCTATGACGCAGCGCATGGGCTCAGATTGCCACGACTTATTCATCAATTTACTTCTTCTTGGTGACAAATGACACCTCAAATTCATCCCATTGTCACCTATAGATGTATTTACAAGTTCTAGATATACGTCCATCTACTTGAAGACGAGACATTGAGCAACATTGAGTTTTACTTCTTGGTAATCCCATTCCAATTTTATTTACTTCTCAATTTTTCAACAATCAGTAGTTTGCATTGTAATAGTGCTAGCATACGAAATTGTAAATTGCTCTTCCCAAACTAACCATCCAAAGTGGTAGATAAATGGATATTTAATTTCAGTTTCGTCACCATTCACCAAACGACTAACTACCCATCACAGACACCAATTATATTCGACTCCTAACTGGGATCACCCAGATGAGATGGCAGCTTCAGGTTGATGGTTATTTATTTACGAGTAGTGCTTGTAACGTGTGAGGTAACTATCATATTGAGCTGAAAGTGTTATGGTGAGCGCAATGGCGAAAGTGATCTTCCTGTGATGGGAAGAAGATGAAGTATTACTTCAACACTTATTTCATTCCCAAATTTTATGTCCATTTCTGCTCTCATGTGTTACTCGTAACCATTTCAATGAAGTGAACGAGCTAATCTAAAATTTATTCTGTTTCGTATTTTATACATATTGCGACTGATCACGCAACTTTAAGTAATCCCTGTATTACCAACCCATTTTGTCACACTGTACTGATCCTAATACTCGTGGGACCCTCACACATTTGACCATGTTGTTAGCATTAAACAATGAAATAAGTGTGATGCGATGCGATGCTAGTATTTTTGTAAAAGTGCAAGTCAGCATCTTTACTTGATCACTTTTACATCTTTTGAATTTTGTTCATTCTACATTTTTAGTGAATAGTCACTCTTGATCTCGTGCATATTTAATGTTACATACCTACCAAAAATCAAAAACATAAGAGATATGCTGTTGAGTATATTTAAATGTGAGACTTTTAAAATTAATCCAAGTTTAGTTCGAGGAACTTAATTTAAACTTAATTTATTCATATCAGAAAATGGCTTGAAAATTTCAGGTACTTATTACGACTTGCCAAAACTTTTTCACAAAAAATTGCAACAAATTTGACAAATCGTGATCATGGTTTTGAGATTATCTTATATTATTGTGTAGTCTGGAGTTTCTTTCTGGAGTGGGAGCTTCATTCTTATGCAACTTGAGACGTTATGGGGGTTTCCTCAGTCCTATATTAGTCCTATTATATAAATATACTCGTACGTATCTCATGGTATTTGTACATAGATGTAATGTTAAACACAGTTTTATTTCTTAATTTATTTTACTGCTTTTCCCACTTTACATTTATTCATTCTCGTCAACACAGTTGTGACTTTGTGAGAAAGTTGAGAGGATGTTCGATATAAAAATGGTAACCAGACTACGTATTGCATGAATATATAGGGTGAAATAAATCAGTTGGTTGGTAGGTTAGGGTGGGAGTTTATTTCTCCATTTTATTTTTGTATATCTACTTGACTTTCTGTCCTGCTGCCCTTAACACCAGACGGACGCACAATATTATATTGTTGTCCTATTGCGTAAAATAAACTTGTTTCAGTCCATCCTTCCCCTCTCTGTACAGTCACTTGTTCATTAATGTATGCCGAATACTGATGGGAAATTTTGACGTCGACGTCTCTTCTACATAAATGAGGAGTAGTGTGGTGGGTAACTCTGATCATATCAGAAAACCTTCCTTCTTGTTCTGGGTGGAATTTATGTAGTTGCTGGTCTTGTCTATATTTCAATATTTAACGTGAATAATTTGCCCCAAGTTTTATTCGAAACTGAAGTAAAAACCATAAAGCAACAGGTAAAGTAATCCAACGTGCAAAGAAAAGTCTAGACGGGTGTCGGTTTTCTTAACAGTTTTTAGAAATGGCCGTATTAGGCAAGAAAGAGAAGCCGCTTACATAGTTGCATATGGCGTATGTGGTTTAAAACCCGAATCAAATGTTTGTTTTATACGTACCTACTTTACATAAAATTCTCCTTATTTGTTGGATTGAAATTGAAAATCTAATATAAATGAGACGATGCTGAAACTATTATTATCATTGCGGGCAGGGCATTATCAACGTAATTTTATTTAGTAGTAAATATGTAGAAGGGTTGCGTGTATGATATGATACACCGTCCAATAAACAATTATGCTCTTTATAGTATTTCAAAGAGAAATGTTTTATCGTGCCGTACCGCACCACAAATAGCCTCAGGTTATGTGAGATTAGTTAGTTAAAATGGACAAGAATAGCATTTTGTATTCCCTTGGTCCATGCACTGCACCGCCAACAAAGCCGCATAAGATAATCCAGCATGGAGAATGGAAAAGTTGCTTCGTTAGTTGTGTGCATACTTATATCCGAAAGATGCATACACACATTGCTAGCAATATTTTTCATCCTGTCCGCAGTCAGCGGTCGTGATATGATACGAATTATGATGGTACTTCTTTTTGTGTTGCATGTGCACATAATAATATTAAGAATAATGCCTAATGAAGTTTCTCTACCACGGCACGCCATCCGAAGGTAAGGCAGCTCAGAGATGATGATTTGCATATTATGCACCATCAATAATTCTGAGACATTGGTCGCTATTTATAATACCCCAACAACCCTGGACAATCCAACAATTTGTTACATGCACGAATGCCCTGGTCTTTAGTGTCGTAAATTATTGAAAATTAATAATTTATTGCTCAAGATAACTCGAGCATCCAGTAATTTATGTGAGCAGATAACATTTTAAACCCAATAATTCTCTTACTCTAGGACTTTTGGTGATAATGCATATAACAGATTAGTAGATTTGTACTTCTTCATTTAGCTAGATCAGCTTCCAGCTTTGATTTAAATGAAAACTGTTGTGAGAGAGAGTTTTGGTGAGGATTAAGTGGTTGTAGGTTCCTCCATTGGTGCCAGATTTGAGAGATGCACTGTGCATACACTTAAGTGAAACTACAATGCCGTGCCTACGTACATATACTACGTGGAGTTTTAAGGCTCGAGAGAGGTTTAAACTTATGTACGTGTCCTGAAATAAATCTGAAATCGTGTGGAAGAAAGGACGCTCGCAGGTGTGCTCTCCAAGTTCAGAAAAAGGAGAAACAGCCATCATGGTTGTTTTCTTCTACTACTGGCCCATGTATTTTCCTTACAACAGACTTCTCCCCATCGGGGTAGGGGGTAAAAGTCTACCTATGTAACTACACAAAAGTCTAAACTACAATTCAGTTGAACCCATCTTTTCACTATGGCTTGGCATATTGTTCCAATGTTAACCTCGTACATGTTGTTTTCTTAGGAAATTGTAGCACATTTCTTGGATGTAGAATTGTTTTTATTGCGTAAAACTTAAAGAAGTGTATGTATATTTTTCTCCAAAAGAAAATGTGAGATTTGAACGAAACAAAATCCTCGCTTTTGAGGTTGACCAGTTCAGAAGAAATAATAATAAAGGTCTCTTTTAGCTAAGCTTGTGAGTTGTTGTTTCCTTTCTTGCTCACCCCTTAAAGGGAGGAAATTGGAGATGAAGCCTTTAAAATTGGGAAAGGTTGACTGACTGACTCAGCTTAATCCCTTCGTGACAGGGCATTATCTGTCGTCACACACACGGTGAGAAGAAGAGTCAGTTGCTCAATTCAATTTGAGATTTAACCTCAGCACCAGCAATATTACAAATGTACATTTGTTACAATCCAGCAGAGGAGGGGTGGATGAGAGAAGTTAATGGATAAGATTTTATTCCCAAGGTAAACCAACCATGCATGCCTCCCTTTAGTGCCCATTTACCTACAGCCAAGCCAGGCTAATGGGCAGGGAAAATAAAATGGTTAAAAGTCAAGTTGAAGCTGTTCTCGTTGTCCCTTAACTTGAATTAACCCCAACCAGATTCATGCTTTAGATGAAGAACCCATAAGAATAAAGTTTATAGGATAGAGTTCATCTTGCCCTATAAATATTCATCTCCATGCTTTATGTATGTATGTATACCCTTCCTTCCACCCTCCATTATGTATAACCATTGTTATACAGTTTGCATCGTAATCCAATCCAGCTCTATGGAACGTCCTACCTGTTCCTCTGTCAAAGGTTTTCTTCTTTATTAGCATTTAAATCTCCGAAAATAAATCGTGTGTCCAAGAACGAAGAAGGCCGTCCCTCTGGGCAGGCGCGTACATTGCGAGAGATTTATTCATTTTTATTTCATTCCCTCGTTTCATCCAAACCTCAGAGAGAGGAATTTATACGTATGTATCAGCAACTTTTCACAATTTAATACAAATTTATGAATTTTGATGCTGCCTTGAAACCTTGAAATTGTTGAAATGTTGAAAAGTGGAAATAATTGGAAGCGCTTTTCAGGTCCGAACGTAAATATGTGGAGTGCATACTTTTTCTCCAGAAAATGGTTGTACACAATTTGATGCATTTAATAGAGACGTATGACTTAAAGTCCATCTCTTTCTGCATTGGAATTAGGAATATTAACCCTCCATTCCACATCGAATTATCTCTAAAATGAATTTAAGAAATAATTTCATGTCCAATAGTCAAAAACATCATTAAAATCTGCTTTTTCTGCTTGAATACTAAAGTCAATTATCACATCACACATCACATAATAAGCCCAAAACAACCCAACCTCCTTATGCTAATGAGTAATTTAATCTGGTGAACACCAATGTTGCTTTCCAGATATTCCAAAAGTAAGGGAATATTATTAACTAATTAAAATATCTTATCCGTGCTTTCGTCGTGGGTAAAAACAATTGTTTTACAATGTTTAATTCTGGTGAAAAAATACAACAAAGGGAAATATTTAGAAAATGTTGGTTTATTTCTTCAGAAACAAGCCATTTAAGTTCCCTTAAAACCGTTTTAGTGGTGGTTCTTATTATGCGTGTACTTATAATTATTAGGCTTTGCACCATTATTACACACAAAAGTTTTAGTTTATGGGAGGGTGTACCTCTTCCTCATCAAGCATCGTGAGTTTAATTTTATTTGCTCTAAAAGTACAACAATTCATTGTTTTTGCTTCAAACCAAGTCGTGACACTACTGCTCTTTTTATAGACTTAAAAAAAACTCAACATTGTGCTCCTGGTCTTAACTTTGCTTTACAATTGCAGACTGGTTTACAATTTGGGGAACTAAGGAATTCTTGAAAGGATTTGGAATAAAAGCGCAGTTGGTGGCGCAAAGCAGTACTTGGAGTAGTGCAGGTACGGAATAATATTTTGAAGTGTATGACCATGGCCTAGGTTGCCGATGACGGTTGATGGTGAACAATATTGGTGTAAGTAGTGAGCAAAGCGACACTGACTACTTGGCTTTTGACAAAGTGTCATTTCCGTTAATAAATCCATAGAATAAATGTGCCATATTGCGCGTTAAATTAGAAAAATCAAGGTTAAGTTTTTAATGGACGTCAAATTAAGCACAATTTAATTTTAAAAGTACAAGTACTTTCCTTCCTTCTTGAATCATTCACAGGAACTATTTCATCTGATAAAGCAAGCATTAAAAAATTATACTCGATTGGAATGAAGTGAAATTGCACAGAGACATCGCATGTTTGTTGATTGCCTTTACTTGTAAAAATAAAACAAACAAAAAATATAACTATTTAATTGAGCAATAGATTTTTGTCCATTTAATAATAACCCCACTTAATCATCTCTGATTTACGTGAATGACGACAAATTGCAAAGTAATACATTAGTTTAGACCTCAATTTCTAATTCTCAGTTTGAAAATATTCTCACCAATCTCGAGAGTATGTTATTAAATGCAATTTTTCCATTTATTTTCCAATAAACAAAATTAATTGGCATATGAGCTTGGGTTATTCTTATTAACTGCAAATCGTTGCGTGTTGAAAATCAGCAAATCTAAGTTGTCGTGATTCCAGACAAAATCCGTAGAAATAGATTTCTTGCTGCAAGCTAAAATTTACATCAACGCTAACGAGATGATTAGGGGTTAATTTTAATTAAGTTGGGATTCACATAGAAAAATCAGGTAATAATTACATCCTCTTTTTCTCAGTGAAGGTAGAAATGTGTAAACGAACCCTACATTTTTTCAATACATTTATCTATGTGGGTGCCATTGGACTTTGCAATATACAAAATATGAATCATATGGAAAACTTGACTATTTCATGCCAAATATTTTATAGTAATAAGGAATTTAAAATGGAGGTGAGAAGATTTCAACTTTTCCATGATGGGACATACTATCTGAGAATATTTAAAATCTGCTGGCTATGAGAATTTGGGCATATTAGCCTTGGCGTCGAATACTTACAGCATTGAAACGAGATATATGTATAAACAAGTCTGTGCGTATGTAAAGATGTATGGAATTGTAGCATTGCCTTAAGGGCTACTATTTTTTGTTGACTGGAAATGAAGGTTGGTTGTAGAACTTGGTTTTACATGAGCGTTGAACAAGTGGTTTCAATCTGAATTTTGACATAATTATGACCCTTCACCCTTTCCTTTCTTCCCTTGCGGCTCGACGCATAGAACTACACATGTGCATATTATGCATTAAAATGAGTCGTTTCATATTTAGGCTCGAATGCATGGGCTGAGAATTTAAGGATTTTGTTCATTTGAATTTCTTACATTGTTCGTGAATTTTGAAGAAAACTTTATTTGTGCAGAGGATTTTTCTAAACCGCCAATATTTTCGAGGTTGCAACCGTAATCCTTCTTCTGGATACATAAATCAGTCTCGCATCTTACTCACGCATAAGAATGCATAATTTTTCTTTCATTTGATGGCTTCCAGGCACAAATCTGTCGTGACTACAAGAAGGAAAGGACAAGGAAAAAGCATCTGTGGTTGGTTAATGGGCAGAGGGTACTTATTTTTCTCGGTTCTTAAGATGGTGGCAAGTGTTTTCTCATGAGCAACAAGTTGTGTACGATGGGGTGTAAGGTTTACATAAGAACTTGTACTACTTGGTATTAAGCTACCCTTGAAGGTTTGTCTGAAAAAAGTTTACAGGAATGGAGGAGCTTTCTTTATTGGCTTGGCTGCTGAGGGTATATGTAAAAAGCAGGTGATGGGAAGATTGGGAAGATGCTCCAGCTCTTAAATCTTTCTTTCCGTGTGATTTATAAGAGTCGGAAGGTAATTACCAACAGATTACGATGTTTATTATATAGAGGTAGCATAATAGATGCCATGAGAAAAATCATGAGAAAGTGCTCTCCACTTCACATAAACTACGGAGTTGAACTGGACATTTAAACCTTTAAAAATTTGTGTATAAAGTTCTGGCCAATATGCAAAAAGTGAAGGCAATTACCGGTAAAACGATCCAATCCTTCAAGTTTTATTATTCCCAGTATTACGTAGTAGAATACGATGTAGTTATATGTGTGTAATATAATACGACGCGAATTTCACACCATGGTCTTACTTGGCTGAAATAGTACCAAATTTATCACAAATTCTGGACTCCAGTCATACTAATGTAATTATTTCACGGATAGTGGGTTTCAACGAGAAACAGAAATCCAAGGTTAGATTTTATCAGGTCAGTCTAACAACACAACAAAATTAATTTACAATGCCAAAGTTGGATTCGAATAAACCACAGCACAATTCAAATGCATCACCGTGAAGAGTTATCAAAAATGCACTTTGATTTTTTTTCTTTACGTAATTTGTACTTTTCAACGAACCCTTGAATTCAACAATTCCAATTTTTTTAAAGTATTTAATTCAATTAGTTCCAAGGCGGTTTCACCTTTGAAGGCAAATTATAGACCGTTTACTCGCCCTTTTACTTGCTATGTGACCACAAGGGCGAGATTGATAATTCGCAATTTTAAGAGTTAACTAGCCGCTAAAACACATTACTTATTCCTACTTTGCTCTTGTGAAGGGTTCTTATTGAAACTTTACTCTTATTGTTCAGCAAATCAGCATGCATGCACTTTCAACGATAAGCCAACGGTTGTGATTGGTTGCGTGTTGGTCGCAGTAGTAAATTGTCCATTGAGTTTCGACTCTTGATTTAGAACAAAGGTAGAAATTAGGAGACAATCGGGCAACAATTGGCTATTCATTCGTCTCTTCTACCTGCACTATTGAATTGTTGATAAAGTTAATCATTCATAAATAGAACAATACTCGGGCACAGTATTAACATCAGCAGCTTCTGGTTCTTAAATTTCTTGCTTGATTAAGGATTTCATAAGGAACAATAACAAGTCCAAGTGTCATGCAAAGATAATACACGCAGGAGTCTTACATAGTCTGCTCAACTGTTGCAAACTCGCAATAAATGTACTGCTGAACACATTCACAACGTAGCTATATCTTTAATTTGCTCCCACTCAGCAAATATTATCCGCAAATTCTGGTCAGCCAATAATTCCAAAATTGCTTCAGTAGCAAACCAAGTTTATGCAAACGTGCTTAATGAAGATGACGAAGAGTGATGATTTTTCAATCCAAAAGATAACGGACAAAACTACCAATGAATGCAATTTTGATTGAGTTTTAGGGACACAGAAGACTAATTAGTGTTGTAATTAATTTTGTGAAGCTCAATTAACAAGTAATCAAGAAGGCACAATTTATCAGACTTTTCCACTGTGGTATACAATTGCATGAATGTCCAAATTTTTGCCACGCACCAGGCACCCTTCAAACGCCAGTACTACAACAGCACTATTCCCGTAATTGTCCAGATCAAGTTAAAAAAATAGGTAAAACACTTTGTTTATTCCCCAATAAGGCACACACCACTATTGATGATACGAATTTAGTTAGCTTAAAAACCAAGTTGGCCAAACGGCGCAATGCATGGAAGAAACAGCGTCAATCTCTCAGAGCGTCGCACGGTGTCCTCGTCGAATGAGTTCTGAGGCAATACTAAACCAAACAACTAACCCTTCTTGCCAACTATTACGCTGTATGCGAGAGGGAACGCGCTACAAAAAGTGGAGACCCAAACAACGCATCATGCATTTGATAGTAAGCAACCAGAGAACGACGGATGCACCTTTGTTGCTATATGTTGTATGTTGGGGGAGTTTGCAGGCAGAATACAATTTGGAGTTAACTTTAATACACGGAAAGAGTATGGATGGACAAAAGGATGACGATGGAAATGCATGGATAAAAAACATGATAACATTCGTTAAGGTTTCGGATCTTATAGTAACCAACCAACTCAGACATTGGGCTTCACCTTATTTAGTTGGGCTGCATTTCATGGAGACTTATTTAACTACTGGTTTGTTTAGGTACGACGAGTGTATGTTTGATGGGTCTACTTTTTCTGTTACCTTCATCTTTGCTTCTTGTGCACTTGTACGAACGCGTATTGGAACCAGTAATTATACATATTCAGGCATTTTTACTACTAGTTTACGACATGGTTTTACTATTCTTCCTGGATATAAGGCATCATTCAACACGACCGTGTTTTTAATGACTCGTTAGACTAGCACAATAGAATGCCATTATCAAATTATTATTGAACGTCAATAACATTCTATTGTAAAACTTTGTGTTTAAGGTTTTAGTTATTTTCATGTTGTCGTCTTACATTATAAAATGTCATATATAATTTTCGAAATTTTATACGCTGGTTCACAATGTATGGTGGTTTCCTGATGTTTTACTACAACATAGGTAACATACATATATGTATGTATATGTACCTATATATAGGTACATATGCATTACTTATATGAGATGCGCTTTTATTATTGTTTGTTTTGCCTCCACCATGCTTTTTACCTTTTTACCCAATCAAACAAAGCCAAAAGGCACTGCAACTACTTTTCTCTCATATACCAGATAATAAACGCAAAGAGTGACCATACTGCTCTCACCAGCCCCACGTTATCCTGGTGCATGGAATGAGAAGTATGTATGTCAACAAGAACGCTGGAGGCTTATCGGTTGCTTGTTATTACTCTGAACTGAATACAGAATCAACACAGTGCTTCTGCCTGATACAAAAATGAGATTGAATTGACATGGACTTTGGTCTCCATGCAAAAATGTAAATGCAATATGTTCCGCATTTCTTAAATACGCGTCAACGAAATACTTAAATGGTTTATTGAAACTGGGTAGAGGGTAATGAAAACGATTCCTAAATAATACTAGAGGAATTATCACGAAATTATCATTACATTCTTACTTGCTTATCATGAAGTTCTCCCTTTTCGGCATTTTTGTAATAAATATTTCTTTTCAACTCAGATTAATTTTCAGGTTGATACACCTGGATAATGTTCTTATAATGTTGTACAGGTAATGTTCATACAAAAAGTTTAAACCTCATATTTGCATATAGTAAAATAAACGAAATATAAATATAAATATGTTTGTATATATTTTACATATACATGTGTAATATTTGAAAAAAATATTTAAATAAAAATGTCATGTTTGCCCAACCAAACCGTATATTTTTTTGTTCCACTATAGAGACGGAGACATAGAAGCCTCCCTTTTCCAGATTAGATAGCTTCAAATCCTCACATATACATAAATATGTATGACCACGAATAATACAATTAAATTGTATCTCATACAAGAATTGCTATTAATTTTTTGTAACATTTTCCCTCCCGTCATGTTCAGGGATAGAACGTTCTAAACAGGCTGACCACCAACCCGACTAATCATGAACTTGGCGAGAATTTCAATAAAAATCGAGAGTAAAATAATAATACGGAATTTGTTGCTCCTCTCCAGTCACATGCTCTCTGCCAACAATCGACCTAATAAATATTCAAAGTGGATTCTCGACGACTTGTGCAAAAAAGTAGTTGTATCAAAATTCAAACTCTTCCAAACAGATTTGAATTTCGAAATCAAACCACTTTTCCTACCAAAGTTATCTACAAATACTCCTTGTTTTTATGCATTTGACAGGAATCACATTACTCAATACCTCTCACGACATTCCGGAACGTAGAAACCTCTTTTTGCATCTCGAGCTATCGTAGTGCATTCATATCATTCTTGGATATCATTCTTGGATAAATGCAACAATGAAAACTCATTTTGAATCAAATAAATAAAATTCCCATGAGTTTGACATTTGGACTGTGGAATGAAATGCACAATTTATTGTCATTTTTTAAATACAGCGAAATGAACCATTACAACGCTGAATGTTCAAGTGCCGAGTACTCAGTCACATCACATTAATCTCCATTCCAACCAAGACGATATCATTGTTGTTGGTCGCCATTGTCCAGTGATGGGTGTCTTGGATCGTGAGAATAAATTTTATGTAAAGAGATAAATATGCAGCATATCCTTAAGTGCATCCCTGCCCTTGATGGAGTCAAAACTGCAAAGATATGCAAATGAGATGATTTTCAAACTTACAAAATTTCCACACCTTTGCAGAAAATTATCAAACTTATGTATTCATACAATTTCGTTGGCTTTTCATCCATTTTAAAAGTGTTCAAAATCACTTTTCCAACTGAAAATTATTTCAACGTAACTTGTGCCGAACCAATTTTGGTTGTAAACAATGATGATGATGAATGGTTCTATTTCATTTGATTTCATGATCATTAACATGTGGATATTATAAAAAATGTGAATAGAAGGAGCCTTCACTTTTACAAAATCGTGGTTTAAACTTTAGTAATGTAGAACTTTGTACAGGGAAAAAATGTGAAGACTTTGATGACTTTTCATTACTACGATGATTACTTTTACTATCATAATGTTATATTATTATTAAGTGCATGTGTTTGGCACGTTAAATCAAAAATTAAGATTAATTGTCAAAAAACGTTGCATGCTCTCAATGATAATATGATTATTGCCAGTACAAGAAAATGGCTCAAGGGAAAGTAATTCGGCAATGCAAAAAACTTGTGTGTAGTTTTTGCTTTACTTTATTTCAACAGCAATTAAGCAAAAAATGTACCCTGGGTCTAAGACTTAAGTGTGCAAAATAATTCCGCCTCAATGCTTACATATCCTTCTCGAACGAATGGTTTTAAAGTTTAGCTACACCATAACCCTCAATTTTCAATGATTAATTGTTCAAATATATAGAACATGATAAATGTGAAACATGAATTTCGTGAATGTCCAAGACCATAGTCAACGTTAAAAGTTATGGGAGTTCGTTCCATTTTTGGTTGTGTAATTGTTTCATTGTCATAATGATGGTGTGTATGTTCTTACGTTGTCAGTAATCATACATCCTCCTTCTTCATATTCATTTCATATAGGATTCAGTTTCACCAGGGTTGAAGCAATATTCCTTTGTCTTTGATGCTTTAATAAATTATTCGCAATTCCCCACGAATAAAATATTCTTAATGGAAACAGAAAAAATGTCATCATCACCAAATCGTGTTAAAGAATACTTTTATTCGCAAACTCGATAAATGACTAGATCAAGATTTGTTTATAAATACTGATGTTTATCTAAGAAACAATGTCAAAATATTTAGCCTTGATTGATACCACGACTAAATATTTTTACGTGTGTATTATATTTACAAGTTTAATTAAATTAGGTCAGATTTGCCTTACTCATCCGTGGGTCTCAATGATTTATTCCGCAGGAGGACCATGTAAACTACACTAGCTATGACAATATTCTGCACATTTGACACTTGAATTGACAACAATGCAACCTGGAGCAGACAAGAATACGTAATACGCCAAACTGCATATAATTAAAGAATTAATATCGTGATTAAGTAATCAAAGACCAAGCCTAGAAAAGTTCAAGATAAAATCTGCAATCCCTTTTGCTAATGTAGTAATTGTTTTCCTGTGTTGAGAAAATAATAGGCTTGATTGGATTATAAAAGGAGACTTGTAAATAAATCACTTATTCATTCATCTTTAATATGAATCAATATTAACACCAACAACAACTTAATATTTTACTTCACAGTTTGACGCTTTTTTTGAGTGGGTAAGGTCATCTAGCTTGTCGATCATCAATTCAATTAGCTAAAGTGAGCAGAATTAACTTAAGTACGGGATTAGAACCATTTAGTTGGCTGCAAATACGTTAATTCTTAACATGAAAATGATGTCAAGTAAAAATATATGGACATATGTAGGGGTTCAATCAAGCATTGAATCGTCAATATGTATACGTATATGAATGTACACATTACATACATGTATTTTAGACAGTTTTGTTCATCAGGTGTCCTCTATTTGTTATTTTGGCTTAATACCATCTCACTCGACATCTGATCTTGACTCTTCACTCTTGAATTTAAGTGGCGTTTATTGAATCATTGAGTCATCTACATCAGCATTCTGATCGAGTTTTGATAAGCCAAGCCATACCGAGGGAGGAGATCTAACAGCATACATACATTTGCTCATAACAAAAAGGGACTGCACAGCACCATCTTATACAATTGTTTGCATACACACATATCGAGTCGACCCAGGTTGCTCTTGTCATTCATCAATTTAAATTCTCAATATAAACAGAATAACACTCTCCCGTTTGAAAGATTTTTATTATTTAATCAATTCTCAATGTATTGTGTACCTAATCTAGATTGACCAACCACACCTGCAATTTGCGCATTATGGACATCCAATTCCAAGGACAGACAAGAGTATATTTAGATATTTAATTATTTCTGTATGCACTATCCATCCTGCTAAGATATACATTAACAATTAATGCGAAAAGACATGCAAAAATTCAGACTTTCTAGATGTGTACATTTCGAAAAATTCAAAGGAAAGAAAGTGGGTTTCGGATAATTTGGGAGCCGGATGGTAGAAATATTTAGTAAAAGTTGAGAATTTTTGCAAGTGAGTTGCTTAAATGTGCTATAAAGAAGAGACGTAAAGCAGATTACCCTTTAGTGCGTCAGCGACAACCTCGTCAGATGCATTTGCT